CCAGAATGGGATTTAACTCCTGGAGACTCTGTGTATATTTCAACCAAGCACGTAAAGGGCCTGCAGCCCCGATGGAGCTTCGGTAGAAATATGTGGGGCCATTCAAAGTACTGTGTGTCATTAATAAGGTAGTTGCTGAACTTGACCTCCCTAAATCTCTGCATTCTTTGCACCCTGTGTTTCACTACAGACTCCTGAAGCGGGACCAGGTCCTTCACCCTGGGCGAGCAAGCCTCTGGCTCCTCCTACTCTTCCTATCGATGGGGAACTCCACCATGTGATTGATAAAATTTTGGATTCTCATTTATCCCGTGGCCAGCTGCAGTATCTGATTAGATGGAAAGACTTTGGTCCTGAAGAGAATGAATGGGTAGTATCTAAACATGGTAGAGCCCCCACCCTTCTGCGAAGGTTTCACAGAATGTATCCTATGAGTCACCACGAGTTCTTGTATTGTGAGAAAGGGAGAAAAGTACCTTTTTCTCTACCTGCTCTATCCCATGCATAATCTTATAAACCTCAATCATGTCACTACTCAGCGGTCATTTCTAGAAGCTAAAGAGCCCTAAGTGCTTTAACCTTTCTTCATAGGGAAAGTGTTCCAACCCTTTTATCATTCTAGTTGCCCTTTTCTGCACTTTTTCCAAAGCTATAATATCCTTTTTAAGGTGCATTGACCAGAACTGTACACAGTATTCCAAATGAAGTTGCACCATTGCTTCACAATCCTCTCTGGTTTTCACCACCCTGAAAAACTTCATATCATCTGCAAATTTAGCCACTATGGAAGATGAGAAGTGCTTGCCCACTCCAGAACCACCAATTTTGGGAGGGGTGTTGAAAGACCTGAGTCACATTGAGGTGATTAGAGAGGAGGTCCTACAACTGATAGACAACTTAAAAGCTGATAAACCACCAGGCCCAGATAACAGACATCCAAGAGTTCTGAAAGAACTCAAATGTGGACTTTTGGATCTCCTGACAAAAATGTATAATCATTCATTAAAATCTGGCTCCATTACTGAGGACTGGAAGGTAGCTAATGGCACTAAAAAGGGTTCCAGAAGGAGATCTGGGAAATTACAGGCCAGTCAGTCTGAAGTCAATACTGGGTAAGTTGGTGGAAACTGTTATTAAGGAAAGAATTAGTGGGCACTTTGATGAAGAAAAAACTATTGAGGCAGAGTCAGCATGGATTCTGTAAGAGAAGATCTTGTCTCACTGACCAATTAGTGTTCTTTGAGTGAGTGAACAAACATGTGGACAAAGGGGACCCAACAGATGTTGTTTACCTTGACTTCCAGAAAACATTTGATAAAGTTCCTCATCAAAGGCTTCTAAGTAAGCTCAGTAGCTATTGGATAAAAGGACAAGTTCTGTTGTGGATCAAAATGGGCAATTTTCACAGTGGAGGGTGGTGAGCAGTGGGTTACCGCAGGGATCAGTACTCCGTCTGATGTTTTTAAACTTGTTTATTAATGATTTGGAGTTGGGAGTAAGCAGTGAAGTGGCTAAATTTGCAAATGACATGAAAGTGTTCAGGGTGATGAAAACCAAGGAGGATTCTGAGGAACTCTAAAGGTATCTGTCAAGGATGGGTGAGTGGGCATCAACATGGCAAATGGGGTTCAGTGTGGCCAAGTACAAAGTGATGCACATTGGAGCCAAAAATCCTAACTATAAATACACATTGATGGGGTCTGAATTGGCAGAGACTGACCAAGTGAGAGATCTTGGAGTCGTAGTAGATAACTCATTAAAGATGTTGAGACAGTGTGCCACTGCAATAAAAAGGCCAATGCTGTGCTGGGGATTATTAGGAAGGGAATTGAAAACAAATCAGCCAGTATCATAATCCCCCTGTATAAATCAGTGGTGAGACTTCATTTGGAATACTATGTGCAATTCAGGTCACCACACCTCAGAAGGGATATTATGGCATTGGAAAAAGCAGAAAAGGACAACTAGAATGATAAAAGGGTTAGAACGCTTTCCCTATGGATGAAGGTTAAAGTGCTTGGGGCTCTTTAGCCTGGAGAAACTACAACGGAGGGTTGACATGGTAGAGGTTTACAAGATTATGCATGTGTCATGATCTGTGCAGGACTGGGAGCTGGGCCTGCTGCGGCCTGGTCCCAGGATAGACCTGTATGAAAGCAGACAGCCTACAATCCCCATAATGTTTAGAGAGGGTTATAGCCAATGGGAGTTCAAATATTATGTGAGGAGATTCTGTCTTAAGCTGTTAAGTGTGGAAAACAGGGTTCTTCCATCTCTCTCTGTGGCCTGGTCACATGGGGACAGAAAGATATCTCAGAGAGAAAGATCTCTCACTGCTGTCGTCTCTCTGCGGCCTGGTCTCCTGAGGGGACAGGCTAGTCTGGGGGAGAGCAAGATTCCTCACTGGGACAGAGTGAGAACAGGTAGCATAGCCTGGTATAAAAGGCAGGCTGTGGGCCTGGAAGTAGTAACCAGTTAGGAGTAATAGGTAGCTGCGTTAGATTGTGTTTATTTTGCCTTTTAAACACTGTTATACCTTTTAAAGCACCTTGTCTTGTTTTCCTTGCCCCAGTACTGTGTTAATAAACCCTTTCTGTTTAATTTTTTCTCTGCCTTGGTCATCACGCTTATGCTTCTTGGCTACAAAGGGGCAATTTGAAGAGGCTTGGGAAGGTACCCTCGGCCTTCTCAAGGGACCCGAATTCCAGGGTGGCGGCGGTAGAAGGTGGCAACCTGCTGGGGTCATGACAGCATGTGATAGAGCAGGTAGAGAAAGAAGAACTTTTCTCCCTGTCTCACAATACAAGAACTTGTGGGCACTCAATGCTGGGCAGTTGGGTTAGAACATATAAAAGGAAGGGTGATTAACACATGGAATTCACTGCCACAGGACATGGTGGCAGCTAAAAGCATGGAGAGCTTCAAGGTGGAATTGGAAAAACATATAGAGCAGAGGTCCATCAGTGGCTATTAGCCACAAGGTATATATAGGAACTCTCTGTCTAGGGCAAGTGATGCTCTTTATTCTTGGTGCTAGGGAGGGGGTGACAGTGGGAGGGCTTCTAGTGTCCTTGCCCCACTTGTGGACCTCCTGATGGCACTTGGTGGATGGGACATTGGCCTGCTCCAACATTGGCTTTTCTTATGTTCTAATACAGGAAAGGAGTAGGGAGACTGCAGAGAAAAGGGGGGGGATAGCCAACCTTTAAAATCAATGAATTCACTCATGCCCCCACTACAATCTGATAGTCACTCAAAGACTCTCTCTCACACACACTACAACTGCTACACTTGGACTGCAATCACACATAAAACCAAATGCCCAATGCTCATACCTCTTAGTTCAGCCTTGCTGCTCAAACCACCATTCTTCTCCATCCTCCTTGGCAGCACATTGCAAAAGTCTGCTAGGAAGGCAGAAGGCTACTATGTGTAGTCCCTACAGCATGCCTCCCCATTGGACAGTTGCTTTGTAACCATTCAATTGCTGTACCATTCTTCGTTTGAATAGGGACTGGGGGGAAATGATCTGCAGCTTTACTGTGATGAGTACTTCTTTTTACACTTAGAAATTAATGTTGGAAACATTTATGTTGCAAGGTCTAAAGTCAGTCATTATAGGGTTAATGTGCTTACCTTATGTGCTATTGTTTAGACTGACCTGGAAGGGAACTTGACAGAAAGGCAATGGGGAGGAAGCGCATGAAACTAAAGCCTCTTTACTAACAATCATTGGTTAATGCATTCAGGTGATTTCCTTCTAGGGGTCAAGAAGAAAGGAAGAATCTCCATTACAATCTGTTGTTGCAAGCATGTAGTCTTAAGTGTTTGTTGTTTTGTAGATTTTCCTGTGTACTCTTCCCTTTAGAAATAAAGATTTTTACGTAGAAAAAAAGACCTCCTCTCCAGTGAACAAAGATTCATTGCAACCTCTGAATAGTTAACTATTTTTACCAATTTTCAAACAATTAATGTACTGAATAGGGGATAGTGTAGGAAAGCAGTGCAGAATAAATCACTATTCTCCTGCCTGGAGATTGGAAACCCAAAAGTATTTGTGTGCTAAGAGCATGAGGTACTGCTTAATGATGCAGTCAGTGTGACCTTGGCAGAGATAACAGAGAGCTTACACACACATTCCAAAAGGATGCTCGATCTACGCAGAGAGAAGGAGGGAGAGAGAGGAGGGGGAGGGAAATGGGGGGAAACTGAGCTTATAAATAAACGCTGGGAAGCGGAGAGGTGGCAGATCAGCTTCCTGCAAACTTGTGTCCTGTCCTCTTTGCATCGCATGCACCCCACACCCCAGGATAGTAAATTCCCTATGCATCCTCTCCGCTGGGATTCCTTCATTCCTTATTCTAGATGGTATTCAAGAGTATTTTGTGAAATGTTGAGGAGCAGAATCCAAAAAGGAGAGAGAGAAAACACACCAACCTTCCTCCTATTTCCATTAATGTCCAAGGATAACAGGATTTTTTTAGTCCAAAGTGTACAGTCCTTTCCAAAGTAGAGAAGGAGTGATCCCACAAAAAGTGACCCTCAATAACTGCAATTTAACCACCTCCCAATAATAAAATTAACTCCTCCAAAAGTGGCCTTTGGTATGTATCACATTCTTAAACATACCCTCTTACAGGCTACTGAGTATGGCCTCAATCTGTCATAGGTTATTTTCTATTTTAAAAAATCTTGTGTACTGTAGATGAATTCTAAAAGAAAATCAGAACATTTTAGGAGGTAGAGTAAGTCAGAGCTTTTAACTAGGCTTTTTCTTCATGCAAAAGAACTTCAATGTAACCTGTAAATGCTTTTCATTAAAAAGCAACTGCAAAAACTCAAGGAAAATTGCATCAAAGGCAGTTTTATTAAGTGCCCCCCACCCCCCACAAAAAAACCCCTGTAACATCATAAAATTTTTGAGAGGATATAATTGTAACGTATTATCAGAAAAAAATTAAGTACAGGCTTATACATACACTTGACTTACACTAAAGTTTTTAAATCTTCCTCCTTACTAGCTGTTCCCTCTTGTTCAGCTCAGGTTTAAACACAATGATGTAACATTTAGGGAAAAAGATGCAACTCAGCAACCCAGCAGTGGAAGCCAAGATAGAAAAGATCTCTACAGCCACCATGTATTTCCCCTTGGTGCTCAGGTAGGTTGGAACAAAGGATAACCAAACACTGCAAAACACCAACATGCTGAATGTGATAAATTTGGCTTCATTGAAACTGTCAGGTAACTTCCTGGCAAGGAAAGCCACCATGAAACTGACACAGGCCAGGAAGCCCATATAGCCCAAGACACAGTAAAACATGATAGGCAATCCCTCATTACATTCCAAGGTGATTTCTTCAGTCATGGAATTGACATCAACATCTGGGAATGGGGGAGAGACTCCCAACCATACAGCACAAATGCCTGCTTGGATAAGTGAGCAGAAAAGAATAACGTAGTTACCTAAGGCCCTCCCCACCCATTTCCTACTCCTGGATCCTGGTTTGGTGGTCATAAAAGCCAGAACCACAGTGACAGTCTTTGCCAGCACATAAGATATAGCCACGGAGAAGATGATGCCAAAAGCAATTTGTCGTGTGAGGCATGTTACCATCCCAGGCTGCCCAATAAATAGCAAGGCACAAAGGAAGCAGAGCAGGATGGAGATGAGAAGACCATAAGTCAGATTACGGTTGTTGGCTTTGACGATGGGAGTATTGTGGTATTTTACAAAGCTTCCTAAAGCCAAAGTAGTGAGCCAAGAAAATGAAAGGGCCAAAACAGCTAAACTGATCCCCAGGGGATCTTCATAAGACAAGAAGCTTATCTCCTTTGGAATGCATGAATCACGGTCCTTATTTGGATATTGATCTTCTGGGCATTTAAAGCAGTCATCCAAATCTGGAAAAGAAAATGTTTATTTTGAGTGTCCTCAAACTTCCAAAGGTCATCTTCTCACATAAATTGTCTCATACAAGAGTCAGTGTAATGTGGTGATTCAAGTGATGAACTACTGGTTCAACGTTGCAGTCATACCTTGAAGTTAGAGACCCACATGCTGTTCCCTCATTCTTCTACTTCTGGTTTGTTTCAGGTGGTTTCTAGTCCCATTTTTTTAAAATGCTCAAATGTCCACAGTAGTCTAGACTTGCCCTATAGAGTAAATTTTTGTTCTGTATGGATATCACCTAGGTATTTGACATATACTTGGGCAATACTTCTGTATTATAAAGGTAAAGGTTCCCTTCCTCGAAAGCCAGTCGGATCCGACTCTAGGGTTGCAGTGCTCATCTCCGTTTCAAAGCCGAAGAGCCAGCGCTGCCCGGAGATGTTTCCATGGTCATGTGGCTGGCATGACTAAACACCAAGGCGCACAGAACGCTGTCACCTTCCCACCGAAGTGGTACCTATTTATCTACTTGCAATTTCTTGCTTTCGAACTGCTAGGTTGGCAGGAGCTGGAACTAGAGACAGGAGCTCACTCCGTCATGTGGCACCCAGGTCTCGAACTGCTGAACTACTGACCTTCCACAGCCTGCAGTGTAGTGTCTTAACCACTTGAGCCAAGTGACAGGTTGGATTTTATGGTCCTTTTGTGTGGTAGTCATAGGCAAAACTAAACTTTTGCTAAAGTCACCCAGAGATGCCTCTTCCAGCTCATACCTTTTCATCTCTGTTTTTCTCTTTGCCTTTCAGGTCAAGCCCCACAGTTTGCATTAGTTTGTTAGGACTACTGAGAGGGAAAGGGTTTGTACATTGGAAATGCTCCACTTCAAAGACAGACATATTAATGCTACTCTCTGGACACTCCTACACACAAGGAACCTTTTCTCCCAGCTTTCCAAAATGTAACAAGGCTGTATCATCTCAAACTTAAGGGATAATTTGGCTATGGCACTTCTTTGTATGTGTGGCTGAACAGTAAGGTTTTAATTATTTTTGGTAATTTATCATTTTTTAAATGGATCATCACTGAGACAATGTTGGGCTACCAGGAATGGTAAGTATTTGTGTTTTAAATGATAGTATACATACAGATTCATTAAAATAAGGAAAAGGTAAAATACTAGATAAAATGGGTTCAAAGCCAATTTATAGTACAGAATAACTTTGAGTGGAATATACAGGAGGTAGATAACGAAAACATGAGGAAAGTAAAATAAAATTAGTTTAAACTTAAGATAAGACAAGAATAAATGAAAATTTTTTTATTTATTTATTTTTTTGGAGAGGGAAGTTATTATGAAATAAGTGGAAATCTATATAGTGGAATGTCTTGAGAAAATTAAAGTTGATAAAGAGATTTTTGGTGAAAATTAATAATGCGCCAAATGATTATTAGGATTAATAGTATAAGATATATATGACCTATGTGGTAATCTGTTATAGTGGGAACTGTATATTTTATTATTATTATTGAGATTGATGTTTTTGTAAATTTGTAATTGATGTGTATGTAAACTTGATTAGAAATCCAATAAAAAAATTTAAAAAAGGAAAAGGCTGCCTGGTACTGAGGGATGCAGTTGTGGTGGTGTTGGGCTACCAGAAGAACAGTGGCACTATCATTTAGCTCTCCAAAGAGAAAAGGACCACAGTGCAAAGTTAGCATCATGAAAGCATCATGTCCATGACAGCAGAGACAACAGAGGAGTCCATAGGAATTGTGCTGTGCCACATAACAGCAATGTAACAGTGAGGCCAAAAAAGACAGGACAGTCAATCAGTCTCCTTCCATTGGGGTTCCACGCATGGTCTATTCAGGGCCCCAGCAGTAGTACAGTGCCTGCCCCCAGCCACATGCCTCTTAAAGGTTGAGAAATCCTACTTACATGCTGAGGGCAGTATAGGCAGAAAAAGTGGGCCAGGGAGTTGTAGTCCCCCATATCAGAGCCACAGAAGGAGTATGTAATTAAGATATAGCCAAGCCCCAAATAATCCCCAAATTAGTTCTTTGGGTTAGATCAGGATATCTAAAATGACCCCAAACACTCCCAGATTCCCAGAATAAATAGTTTAGTTTAGTTTAATTTTATTATTACGGTCTTAAGACCAACATACAAAGTAAGCATAATATGTGAGGGAGAGGAAAACAAACAGTCAATATACAATAATAGAAATCTGAATTTAAGAACTTTTAAAATGTGATTCCCGCAATCTAAGAATTAATGCACAAAACTCAGTGACTGAATGTGTAATCTCCGCATTCTTATCTGAAAGGAGCCAGTGAAGCCCTGCTTTGTTTGTATTAATGTGTCCAGGTGTCCTATCGACTAAAGGGGTAATAATTTTAAGGTGAGCCTCCCTGTAAAATGGACATCTGAAGAACATAGGCTCTACTGATTCTACCTCACTTAAAAGGCATGGGCCTTTCAGAGTAGCGGTTTTTATTGTACCTGCCTTGAATAACTGCAGATGGAAGGACAAAACATCTAGCTAGGGCAAACGCCCTTCTAGAATTCTTTCCCTCCACTGAAGTCAAATATATTGCCGGCTCAGTGGTGCTTTTGATATTTAACAACACCTGAGTTTGGAAGCCTTAGAGATGTCAGATTGTCACTCAATATCCTCAACTCTTGGTTTAATTAGCCCTTTGGCATAGTGTGTGGTAAGGAAAGAAGGAAGCAGGAAAAGGGGTGAGGCTATGGGAGCTGCCAGGAAGGGATGGGCACAAACTGGGAAAATACATTTCAGTTCATGGTTCATGGTGTGCCTGGTTTGCAAACCAAGAGGTGAGACAAATTTTTAGGGGCTAAACAAACCGGTTCTGCTCATGAGGTTCATAATGTGGTAGAATAGCCCCAGTGTGTGGAGAAACTAATCTTGCACAGGATCTCTAGCTGTCTCTCTTCTACCTGCCCTCCAAATTTGATGAGTGTTGGATTTACGGGATCTGAGTTATGGCTCCCCAAAGAAGGTGCCCCCAGAAAAGTGCTTCATGGGTAAATGACAGGCACTAGTTTAGGAAGTACAGGAGAGTATAGAATGAAATCTGTGTAAGCTAGAGACATCAAAGACACAGGGGGCCTCCCCTAATGATCCTCTACCTTCCCTCCAAAGTTATGTGCAGATTGGATTTATGGGGTCCTAGTTATCGCCCTGCAAAGAAGATACCTTCAGAAAAGTGCTTTTGGGAGAACAGTCAAGCTCAGGTTCAAAAGGGCAAGCTTCATACATCAAATGTACAGAAAACCTTTTGGGATTTCCAAGCCTGGAGAATTCTGACCCCCCCCCCAAATCCTCTGATGTTCCTTTGTTGCTTTGAAGTTTGGTAAACATTTTTATTGAGTGGAAACAGTCTGTCTTGTAATGTATCCATCCACAAACCACCACAAACTGCTTGAATATTTGTGGAAAATTCATGCCGATTGACCTGCCATGGATCTAAGTTCATGAACCACGAACCCACAAAAATTCATGACAAACTTTTGTCTCTGAGCCAGTTCATGCCCATTCTTACTTTCAGGGAAGAGAAAGAGGAAGTAGTGAAGAAGACAAAAATAGATGACCCAGACAAATGCTTCAGGTACCTCACCTGTTATTTACTCAGGGTGGTAAATCTAGCCTCTCTACCATCCACAGAAAGTAATGCCTCCATTATTTCCCAAAACTGGTAGACCTGGCCTGGAAGGTCTACCAATCAGCAATTAGTTGGCATCTCCACTCTCTTGGAATTTTATAGGGCCATTATGTTCTACAGCTATAGACCTGGCCCCCCATTTTGGGGACCAGAGCTTCTCATAAAAAACTAATGGTCTTTTCAAATTTAAAGAGCTAGTCTGGTGTAGTGGTTAAGTGTGCAGACTCTAATCTGGGAGAACCGGGTTAGATTCCCCACTCCTCCACTCACAGCTGCTGGATGGCCTTGGGCAAGGGATAGATCTTTCAGAGGTGCTCTTGAAAAGAGCAGTTTATGTCAGAGCTCTCTCAGCCCGACCCACCTCACAGGGTGTCCGTTGTGGGGAGGGGAAGGGAAAGGAGTTTGTAAGCCGCTCTGGGACTCTGAGTGAAGGGCAGGGTATAAATCCAATCTCCTCCTCCTCCTCCTTCTTCTGGGAGGAAAACCTTGCCAAACAGTTGTTTGGCAGGAGCAGCTTCCTCTCTGTCATTCTTATCCTCCCTCTCTGCTCATGCTGTTTGGGGGCTTGGCATGGGAAGGGCCATTTATAAAATTGCCCCAAATTTTCTGGACCATCCCAAAACATCTGAAAATAACTGAAAACAGTAAGGAGAGTCCTGACAATTCAGGATGTTAGGGATATAGAAAAGTGCCTTTTAAATTCTTTGTGTTCTCTTTCATTATCACAATGAGCCTTTTCATTTCACCTATTTTATGTCCAATTTCCATTACCTATTCTTTTAAAAGTCATTTATTTATTTATTTATTTTCACATTTATATCCCGCCCTCCCCGCAAGCAGGCTCAGGGTGGCTTACAAGAGCAACAAGTGTATAACAACTGATGCAAAGCATAGTTTAGGTTAGTAGGAAAAAAGGTGACCTTAGTTTTCTTCTGAATGGTGAGATGACATCTCAGGAACAGGAACTTTTGAAGGAAAATGCTGGCAGTGACACTTCTATATGAGATGTAGGTGTCAGATCATAGTATAGTTGGGGGAGAGAGTGCAGCTTTTTTTTAATGGGGAGACAACATGTCATAAACTGGAACTTTTGAATAACAACAGTGGCAGCAGTATTTCTGGTCTATACAGACCTATCAGGTTTGTACACAACCAGCACCACTCTAAGCAGAGTTACAGCTGCCTAAATCCAGTAGCACGATCTCTTACCTTTCTGGCTTGCAATCTTTCCTCTTGTACAGGGAATACAATCGTAACAACAAAATGGCTTCCCTTCCTGCCTTCTCTTCCTATAACCCGGTTGGCAGCTCTCAGTACATAGAGAAACAGGCAATTTCTGGTTATTACATAGGAAAATAAGAGGTAATTACCATTTAGGAGAATGTATGTGGGTATTTTCATTTCTTTAAGGACCTAGATTTCAGGTGGATAGCTGTTCTAACAACAGTTCTGTAAAATTTTATCAAGTCATCTTTCCATGAAAAGAGGAAATAGCTGCATATCTCCAGAATACCCCATGCATATATACTAGAATATTGTTTCCGCATGCCCCTCCCATTATTTGACTTTCCGATCATCAGATTGATCAGAAATAACAATATTTAAGTTAGCAAAAGCCTTCCAGAATTTGATTAGGAGGCTTATTCTCAGTTTTCTGCCTCCAGTTTGTTAATCTTTCCTACAAAAAGGAATTGCAGAAAATTAGCTTCCCAGCCAATGAGTAATTAGCAGACCTCCCCTCAGCCAGTCACACTATCCTATGCAGAAATTCCCCTCAAACTACTGGAGGTGTACTTCTCGCAGTTGAAGTCATGGAGATGCTTGAGATGCTCCTGCTGGACCTTGCTTGGAGTAGGCAGATCCTGGCCTGGACCTTGGACTCCAGTCTAAACCCTTGCCTGAACTACTGTCTGGTCTATTTTTGATAATTACTAATAATAGCTAGCTAGCTTTTCTCTTTTCCCCTGGAGATAAGGGTAACTGGTGGAATTCTCTTGAGGAAGCTCTAAATGGGAACCCCTTCTTCAATTTTTTGAAACTTCAGGGATCCTTAGTAGAGAGGATATCCTTGGTTTGCTAAAACTTTGGTGTCATTTGGTGGGAAAAAAAAGTTGTTCCAGAAAGGTTTTCTAGTAAAATAAATGGCCAGACACCCAATCCAACATGATTTTCTGATATGGTAAACACACTCCTGACATGTAATAAAAGCAATGATCTTGTCCTTTCTGAAATTATGATGCAGAATTAAAACATGTCTTTACACCCCTAATTTATATATCCAAAGATACACACAGAAACATCTGAAACATTAGGATGACATTACTTAAAGACATGCCAAGAATAATTCATTCAGAATGGAAGCACTACCAGGTTTTCTTCCCTCTGATCCTACCTACCTGTTTAAAACTGCTATGCCATGTGATGGATTGGTCATGAATAGTGAGCTTATTGTCTTGGGAAGCGTGGGGATCCAGTCTTCCTACTTTCACTCTATGGAATGAATGGTTGGGAAAAGTGAGCAAGTTCACGATGTCAAATCCCTCTATCAGTTCCATGTTCTGATCAAAGGAAATCCTGTCTCCAGCGCTGTTGTTAAAAGAGATATCTCTGAGAAAGTAGTGCAGCTGAATTAAATTAATAAAAGAAAACATAAACATTTAAAAGATGCAGACTGATAATAGATGAGCCATCTAGCCAAGTGATGTTTACATGCATTGGCAACTGCTTCCAAATGTCCTCAGGCAGAGGCTTTTCCCAGTCCTTCTGTTTGAGCTTGTTCAATTGATGACAGCCATTAAACATGGGACACTCAGCAAGGCACCTAGGAAATAATCTAAAGCATATGCCATGGCCCTCGATGCTAGATATTGTATATGCAATCATATACCCATAAACAGTGTAGTGCATGCTCCCTTAAGTGAAGGAGGGAGAGGATGAAGAATATCTTGGTCAGCTGCAACACCCTGCTGATCTGCTGAACAATGGTTTCCCCTCTTCCTGTTATAAAGTGTTAAAGGGATAAGCTCTTGGCATCAGCTGAAATGTAAGAACCAAAGGCATCTTGGCCATTGGTATGTTGGCTCATGATCCATAGCCAGGGTCTTTGGAAAAGCCAGCTGTAGAATTTCTGGAGCAGCCTAGCATATAATTTGCTAGGGGAATGGGGGTGCTGATTGATTTATACTCCCCCACCTCTTATTCTTGTAAGCTGCTTTGTATGCCTTTGGGGAGAAGAATGGGAAGTTTCTTTCATTAATAGAGAAATTAACCTTTCTCAATGAGGCTCAAGACAGAGTAAGTATGTTTTAATTTAAATAAATAAATAATGGCCATGCGATATTCTTGTATATTTTCTGAAAAGATTGCTGTTTTAACCCTTTTTAGGAGCCCACTGAAGAGAGCAGTCCTGAGCAAGTGTACCCAGAATCCTATGGAAGTAGGGTTGTGGAGCTGCAAAAAAATCTGTCTTCCTGGGTTTCTGGAATTCTGACCCGGGTTTCTTTCTTTCTTTGTTTTAGGAGGTGTGATTCTGATATTTCTTGTCTTCATTATTCCTTATGGGAAATCTTTCTGAGGGGCTGGGTATGTGTGTGTTTAAAAGTACTGGCACCAAAATTGCAGGGGAGCTGCTGGTTCCTCTTCTTTAAATAAATCCCCCCCCACACACACATATTTCTTTTTTCTGTTCTTATTTTTGACCAAGTATATGAAGGAGGAGAAGCTGCCCAGGCCACTGCTCCCAGGGAAATGGCATAGAAACAAATATATCTTGGAGCTTGTTATTGCACTGCCATGTATCACTATTACCTGCCATGACTGTGGATCCTGAAGATTCAGTATCCTTCTGTCAACACTTGATCTGTGTTTGTGCTGACATGACTGCATGGCATGTAAAGCATGTGCCATGGCATAGACCGCATTGTAGATGTTGTAGCTGTGGCCAATCATGTTCATTTCAAAGAATAAGCTTGAAAGGCTCTCCAGCTTCTCTGCTCCAGTACAGGTTTTCTCACTTCCCTTGCTAACACAGCTGAATGCCAGTTCCCAGAAGTTTCTGATGAAACCATCTTCTTTTGTCCAGAAATGGTTTCTGGTCCGAAGAAAATCCTGGAATCCTAGAACTTCATTTGAATGAACTGTGAAGGACAGAGCACCATGGATATCTTGTATATCCCAACTCCTTTGATAAATCAATGACATCAACACCATTTGAGCGGTCATAATCCACACTTTACCTTTAGGCTCCATGGTCACCATTCCCATTTCTGGTAAATATAATAAGCATCTCAAATGTATCATATGTTCCTCATAAACAATGACTACATTAGCATTGCTTTCTGTGAACATATTATATATTGACACCAACGAATTCATGAATTCAAGAAAGTTTCCCATATAAAGTGTCATTAGTCTTCCTAAGAAGGCAAAACAGATGCCTCTGAGGGGGAAAACTGAAATTATTGTCTGCACAAATCTTTCTCCGACGTCACCACCTGCTGCAAGGACTCCAACCCATGTCCACCTGAAATGCAGTAGTAGCTGGAGAATCCCAGTATATTCATAGGCTTCATTAGGGACCATTTTGTAGAAGGAAATGGTCTCTGCTTCATCATTCATCCTTGGCACAGACCCGTAAGTGAACTATAGAAAGATAAAGGGATAAGTAGGTGGAGAAGAAGAGAGAGAGATATTCCCACACAAACACAGTCACATACGTGGTAGCTGTGTGTAACACTGTCAAACAAATCTTTCACCATTTTTAATCTATTTGAAGTGTAGCCTCTTAGGGATGTACTGAAATCCCCCACCCCAAATGCTCTGTGACTAGAAATCAGGCTATGTTATACATGTTTGACTTTTCATTCAGAATCCAATCACATGATAAGGGTGGGAAAACTAAGGCACTGTGCCTGATCCTGAAGAGATTTTTGTCCTCTATTTCTCTTGTGTGTATGATTTTTTTAAAAAAAAATCTGCCCAAATTTTCACTAGATCAATTGTTCTTGATTTTCTTCGAATAACCAGATGTCCTTCATTTTAAAGCAGTGAAGTGCCCATCAGGACAGGAAGGGCATGGGCCAGGCGAGCCAGCAAAAGAAAGGATGGGAAGGCAGTATCTACTTGCCTCACAGTTACAGCAACTTTATTGCATGAGAACATTCAACACCAAACCCTAATTCTTCAGGGCCCAGTGAAATCTTTTAACACAGAATTTCCTCCTCTCATGCACAATTCATCCTACATATACAGTCTCATGAATTATTACCAGAAAATTTGTATTATATTTTCTAAAATACATACATGCACCGTAATATGATAAGGGGCTAATGCTCCCTGGTTTCCTGTAAAATGTAGTCATTCCCCCATGCTTTGGTCTTGAGATCTTTGCCTGTTCATCCAACTGCGGATCTTGAAACCAGGTGAAAGGTTTCATGATGTCCAAATAGTCTAGCTTGAAACAGAATATATGAATTCCAAGTGTGATTCTTACTAGTACTCTTTTCACTCCTTCTAGTAGTCAAGTGAGCACATTGTCTGGCACTCTCTCAGCAGCCCTATAAGGTGGGGCAGTAGTAGCAGGAATGGCTTGTGTGTGCCATTGCCTCTTGTGCCACTGCTTTCACCACCTAGAGTCCCAAGTGGCCTGAAGAGCCATTCAGGAGGAAGCTTCAGCTTGTGGCCTGCTTCCATAGTGGTACCTTGGACACTGGGTCAAAGCCAAGCAGAAGTAGCCCCAGGACGTACGGCAGCAATCAACAAAACAACCCATCTGTTTCTCTCATGCTGCTACTGCTCCTCCACAACCTCAGCAAACAGACAGATACATTCATAGTGTGTTAAATGGGAACGTTGCCTTTGATTTAGGCCAAATCTATATATGCATTTTAGAATCAGCTTGGTGCTGCTGTTATCCCATGTGGTTTAGAACTGCTGCGCCTCTGCTTTCAAGTTAGCATTAGGGGAACTGTCCACTTTGTCTTTTTTCCAGTTATTTAATCACAATCTATTGTTCATCACTAGATGGCCCCTGGGGGTTACTGGAGTGTTCTGGGACTGGAATGAAAGGACCCACAGTAGAATGGCAGTTCCTGGGGTTAGCAGGAGTATTCTGGGACTTGAATAACTGGCTCCAGAGTGGAGTGACCGCCCAGGGGGTAGGAGATGTGTCCTGGGACTGTAATGATAGGCCTGGCATTCCAGTTCCAGGACACTCCTCTTACTCCAAGGGGATGTCATTTCACCAATGGGCCTGTCATTCCACTCCCAGAACACAACTGCTACCCCGAGGGGTTGTCATTCCACTCTGTGATCTCTCATTCTAGTCAAAGAACACTCCTGCTACCCCCAGGGACTGTCATTCCACTCCATGGTCTCTCATTCCATTTCCAGAACACTCCTGCTACCCCCAGGGGCTGTCATTCCACTCTGTGGTCTCTCATTCCAGTCCCTGAACACTCCTGCTATCCCCAGGGGCTGTCATTCCACTCCAGGACCTGTCATTCCATTCACAGAACACTTCTGTTACTCCTAGGGTCTGTCATTCTTACCCCTGTGAACTTAAAAATTAGAAACACCATGACGACAAGGCAGGAATTGCAACTTTTTGAGCCAAATGCAAGCTCTTACTCGAAAAAGCTGCTGACTGTGCATTGCAGGGTGACCTTGGTCCAGTCATGCACTCTCAGTCTCATGCATCTCACAGAGTTGTTGTAAGGATAAAATGGAAGAGAGGCAAACACTGTAAACTGTTTTGGGTCCCCATGGGGGAGAAAGGAGGGTAGAAATTAAGGAAATAAAGAAGTAAATTGGAGGGAGCAATGGCTGGGAGCCTTGTGCACCCAAGGCAATCATGTGCAGTACCAGGCTGTGTTTGCTGACATCCCACAGTCACTGCCCATGATGACATGGGTTTTTTTGCACATGAAAGCTTACTCTTTGAATAAAACTTTGTTGGTCTCAAAGGTGCCACTTGACATGAACTCTGCCCATGAGTAATGCGGCCTAATATATGGAGCATAGGGACTAGTGTCTAGTAAATATAGAAACAACACCATACATGCTTGTCTTTGTAAATCAAACAGGAATTCAAGATGGGTCAAGTAGGAAGACAGGACACAAGTCACAGAGCTTCTCCCACCACCTACAAAAAATAGCATTTAGACAAGGAAAGCAAATTTGTGGAAGTGGAATTTTTTCTCGCACAGCGTGTAGGTCAACTGGACAGAGAAATCATAGGGATGGCCCATTCTCTCCTCTTTCTGCATGCAGACCAGAAAAGTCAGTTTCATGAGGCTTCTTTAACATGAGGGAATCCTAGTAAGTTTGAAAAAAGGCACTAGATTTTTTTAAGAACCTACTGGAGAAATTATTTTTTCTCTGTTGTGCTCTGTTGAGGAAAATTATTAAAAATGCAAGCCCCACCTCAGTCTCAGACTGCCCATACAACAATGTCATATTTGGAAAGACAAAGAAAATGTGACTTATTGGTTATTTATTCTATTACCTGTGGAACTTTGTAAATGCCCAAAATTTCTGCTATGTTGAGTGACGTTTTAGTGTAAAGAGCTCCAATGACTGATATCAGGTTACTCTGGATACCACACTTGTAGTTGGGGGTGAATCTCTTATATGTTGAAAGAAGATCCAGTGTGGCACGATAGGTCCGCCGTGAATCGAAATAACTGTCATAGATGTTGAAGCCCAAAGTGATGTTGGGTAAGATCTGGTGATTTTTATTGATCTCCTTCACCGCGAATACCAAAGCCAAAATATGCTGGTAGTTTTTCGTCAGTACACTAGAATGAGAGTTGTATACAGCATCACAGGGGAAATTTTCACTTTGTAAAATCATTGCCCCATCACTTGTGCTCCACCAAGGAAACTTGTTTTAGAAGAAGATGCTTCATACGCAAAGGAATACTGTCATGGCACATTCTTATTTTTGTATATGTTTAGTATACAGCTTTGAATGTGTATTATGTCTGCTTGCTATCAGTAAGCCCATGCTTGATAATTGTGTGTTTAAGGATTCTTTTGAGAAACCCTAATAGGTTTTGAAGTGTCCAGTCCACATGCAAATCAAAGTCATTGGTAGTTTCAAAGCAAACTGCACTGTTCTGTCTCCTTTTCTCTCCTGACATAAAACTCTCTGCAAAATGATTGACTCTGGCGTTCAGCCTACCAATAATCACCAACAACAACCCAGAACAAGATACATTAGTTTGAGCCAAATCCATCACTTATATAGGAAACACCTTATTATTATTGTTGTTGTTGTTGTTTTTTCACCGAACCCCACAAGTGGGCACTGGGCAATTTACAGCATTAAAATACAATCAACATGATAAAATTATTACACTGCACTAATAAAACAACCAATCAAGATGGCAATCAACCCCTTTTTTGCCGGCTGCCATGCTCTTTGAGGAGCAGGGCGGGAAAGGGGATGCGAGGCCAAAAGTAAAAAAGGAGGGTGGCAGTTTTTTTTAACTGCCCCCCAAAGGGGCAGGAGGGTGCCAGTTTTAACCATTTGTCCTCAACCAAAAGCCTGGTGGAACATCTCTGCCTTAGAGGTCTTGAGGAATTGCATCAGATCCGACCTTCTTGTCTTAAATTTTAAGAATTGGCAGGTAAGATTGAATTCTTAGGAAAATGGAAAATGGTACGTGTGTGATGAAGATTGCATAAAACTACATACAATCTCCAAAGATATGTGAACTGCCTGTGTCACTGGCCATATTATTCAAATTCAATTTAAAATATAAGGCCACTGAAATTCCTTTTTTTTAAAAAAACCCTGTAGTTACTTTTGCTTTCTGAAATATCCAAACATTAATTTGAAAGAGTTGAACAGAACTTCAAAAGAGGTTTTTCTGACCCCCCCCAAAAAAAATCTGAATTTTTTCAATTTTATGTAATAAAGTAAATAGCCATTTAATTTTTTTTAAAGCCAGAACTGACTACTCAAGATAACAGAACTTCAAAAGAGGTTTTTCTGACCAAAAAAAAAATATCTGAAATTTTTCAATTTTATGTAATCAAGTAAATAGCCATTTAATTTTTTTTTTTAAGCCAGAACTGACTACTCAAGACTTAGTTGGTGGAATGAGGGGGAATATATTCAGGAGGAAACCAGATATGAGGCTGCAAATGAAAACAAGGGACATTAGAAAAAATGTATGAATCCTTTTTTAAAAAAATGCAGTTAAATTCAGCTCCCTCCCCCAAAGCAGAGCATGGCAAGAGACAGGAAGACAGTGATATGATGTGATATAGTGGTTCAGAACTATGTCTGGAAACTTTAATGGATCACTTGATTAATTGATTCAATTCATATTTAACGGCATAAACCACTTAGGTTGGCTTGTGACTGCCAGTGTGATATATTAGCTATATTATTTATTGTTTCAAACAAGATCCTAGATTCAAATCACAGTCCAGCCAGGACACCTGGGTAACCTTGGGCCAGTGACTCTCTCAGCCAAACTGACTTCACAAGGTTGATGTGGGGGGGGTAATAATGATGACAAAACAGAGAAATATGTCTGCAACCATTTTTCAAGGGTTAGAATGACTCAATGAAAGCCTTAAGTAAATATACATAACTTTTCAACAACACTTCATCCCAAGCATAACAGGTGCCTAGTCAAGTCCACTAGACACTCGGGATGAAGCATTGTTGAACTGTTTTGCGTATTTACTGAAGGCTTTGGGTGAGTCATGTTAACCCTTGAAAAAAATGGTTGCAAACATATTTCTCTGTTTTGTCATCATTATTGGTTGTACTGGTTGGTACTCTTCTTTTCCTCTGTTTTGTGAGTTAGCTCCCATTAAGTGGTCCTAACAAAGATCAAGGAAACTCATTGACTTTCTGGAACAGTGTATTGGCCGCCTGGAGTGTTTATGGAATCTTGTAATAAGGACTTTTCACACTGAAGTGTTACGTCTATTGAATGTTGATCATACATAGTATGTTGCTTTTCCAAACAACTGTATGTTTTGTGGTATTATTGCAGAATTTGATTCAAAAGTTCTAATATATATTTTGAAGAAATCTTGCACAATGTTCGTTTCGCTGCATTATTACATTTCACCATGGTCCCCTGACAGCAAATGCAATCAATTAGAAAGAAAAATAGTGCCTTACATGTTCTCACCAATCTCTGATTGACGAGGGTGTTGTCTGAAGTTATCCTCAACAAAAGGCAGTAAGAACTGGGAAGTAATGCCACCTATGATGAGATCACCTGACTGAAAATACCTATGAAGGACATGGAGAGGATCACCAACGGTACATTTCTCTGTATCTATCTCTATTTGGTGCAGCAGCAAAAGCACCAATGCCACATTCCTAAAAACACACTTTCCCACATGACACAGGTTGCCTGGTTTCCACATTATACATACAGTCTTCGGAATTACACCAGACCGATATGGATGGCCATTCATTCTATGAAGAATGGAGCCTATGGAGCCTGCCTTATAAATCCTAGTGAATACATCACCAGACCGGTAGAAAATTGATCGTCTGACCTTCTTAGCTTCAGATCAGAATGACACATTACTTAAGTTACTCATCACACAAGTTACATTGTCATTTACAAATGTTTACTGGGTCTATGATGAAACTTTAAAGGTGGGGGCTAAATTAATCACCATCATTCTGATAATTATATGTGTTAGAAGAGAAGGTCTGTTCAGAATATGTTTGTCATCTCTGGGTTCAAGTCTTCTCTTCCTTGTTAGCATAATAGAAAATAAAATAAATTATCTCCCAAGATGTGAAATTTCAGGAAAGATTTACTTGTGACCTACCAGAAGATATTTTGGCTACCATGCATCTTAAGAAAGAGTTGCTGCTACTCTTGTATGGAAAAATCTGTCACTATTATAGTAATACAAAAGAATGAAAATTATATCCAAAAGAGTGTTTCTTTAACAATCATCCCTGCTGACTAATATTTTCCGCATCACATAATTGTCAATATATTTTATTCTTAACATGACAAATATGTGGATAATTAAATTCAGGCACTGAGGAAATGAAAAGGCGAGGCAGACCTGAAAAAAGCATCAGAAGAATCTGAAACAGAAAAAATAAGTTAATCCTCCCCAAAACAATAAAGTTGGAGCCTGTACCCTTAAGAAAGATATCTTCTGTCAGTGGCCATAGTGCCAAATGGCACAATTTCTGCTGGGCATGCTTCATTATCATCTTATATAATAAACTGCACAGGATAATTAACTCATATTTTAGTAAATTTGCTCCTTAACAAACTACATATCCTAACGACCCTATTTGACCAATTGTTTACTAAAAAAAACCCCAATGTACTGTCATTGCAACTGTTACCCCCTCCCTTTAACATATTTACTAATATAGTTCTAAAGATTTTTTTAAAATTGGGGGGATTGGTGGTGTTGATAGCCTCCTCTGTCAAAGAGCCATGTGCAAAAGTCCTACAAAGGCTCTGCCTACATGATAAAATGGCTGCCGCCTAGCACACTTGAGGCACGTACCTCAAGATAGCCACTCAGTCTCCAAGGGTCAACCAGCCTCCCTTAGCAACAAAGTGTGTGGTGTGTGTGTGTGTTTCTTCAATAATTAGGTCGGAAGAAGAAACTAACATACTAGAGCCAAGGAGCAGGACACTGAAAGTGCAGCTCCATGTGAATCCCCATAAGGCCAAGAAAACTCAGCCCTGGTTTGCAACTCACTTCTCAAAAAGGTGCTGTGGTGGTGGAGGGGCACAACTTCACCTGTTTCCTTAAGGGTTACCTGCAAAAAAAAAAAATCTGCCTTATTTTATAAGTGGGGCCAGAAATACAATCAGCTGCACAGCAAAAAAATGGACTGTAATCCAATAGCACTACCTCTCTGCTTAAAATAACCCCCAGAGCAAACAACTCACTTGCAAAAAGTGGAAATGAGTGAAGTGAAATTAATTTTTATTAAAGCTGGCTTACCAGGCTGTGGCAGAAGGTTCCTGCTTTGGCCTGCAAATCCTGTTTCGCCCTGCCCTCCTAGGGGTTCTGAAAAGTACTGAGACTGACGCAGTGATTTCAGCTCATACTTAGTGAAGAACAAGACAACTCTACCGGCTCGCAGGCCGGCTTATATTCCCAGTAAACCCCACATACAAAACACACTCTATACCAGTGATAGGTTATTTCTTTAGGTTAGGTGTCCCATAGGTCCTCGCTAGGATCCTAGCCCTCCGATAGGTGCAGGCTAGGATCCGCTCGGGCCATTGTTCTCTGGAGCGAAGCTTGGTGGCTTCACATGACCACATGGAGGCCCGACCTCACATGCGGTTGAACTTCAATACATTACACCCCTCCCCCTTTGGTCCGGAACACACTCACACACATAGTCTGTAAGATATCCTGGTGCTTTCTGCTCTCTAGTGGAGCAGTGAAACTCCGAGGCTGCCGTGGGAGCTGGCTCTGATGTGCCCAGTGATGCACTGGTCGGATTTTTTTTGGGTGTCTTGGATGGTGTGCTGCTCTGTGGAGTGAGCTCCCTGTCAGATGTTGATTCCACGGTGCTGGGTCCGGGCGAAATGTCCGGTAAACCTGGCAAGTCCTGGAGCGGCAATAGCATCGCGGCCTCCGAGGTGTCTGTCTCCTCGTAGTCACCCTCCTCCAGGTCCAGGGACAAGACTTGCTGGTGCAGCTGGTCAATGTGCCTCCAGAGGACTTGGCTGTCTTTGCAGGAGACCTCATAGGACCGAGGTCTGGTGACCCTTACTACCCGTGTGGGGATCCAGTGTGGCCCCCATGCATAGTTGTGTACATACACTGGGTCCTCTGGGAAGAACCCGCATGAAGCCTCCTGCGTCTCAGGGATGGGATAAGTTCAGGGGTCGTTTCATAGAAAAAAAGCTACGGGAACACATTAGCATAACTCATTAGCATATGCCACACCCCCTGACATCAGGGGCCCGACGGTAGGAAGCAACTTCCCCTCCCTCTTCTCCTGCCTCCTCCTGGCTGAATGAGGGCTGGAAGTGGGGCGGCCGGAAGCAGGGGGTGGGGCTTCATGTGCCCCGCCCCCACACCTCACTGGGGGGAACCCAATGACCTCTGGTTCAGTTTCAGGTGCCTGATCTGAGTGGAAGCAATTGAGTCTGGTGGTCAGGCATCAGCCCAGGAGAAGTTCTGTGGGGCTGCGACCCATTGCGGTGTGTGGCATCGTCCGCTGACCAAAGAGAAAAGATCCCAGCTTGTACTCCCAGTCCATCCGCCGGAGCGCTTCTTTGGTCGTTCTTACCATTCTCTCTGCTTGCCCGTTTGTTGCTGGGTAAAGGGAGCCAACCTGATGTGGCAGATGCTACAGTACTCGATGAATGTCTGGAATTCCTCTGAGGTGAAACCCAAGCCGTTGTCAGTGACCAAGGAGTCCGGAATGCCTTGAGCACTGAAGATCCTCCACATGGCCTGGATGGTGGACCGTGAGGAGGTAGAAGGAACTGGGACCACCTCCAGCCATTTGCTATATTAGTCCATGAGAATAAAGAACAGCTGACCCTGGAACGGTCCGGCAAAATCCAGATGTAACCTGGCCCAGGGCCTATGGGACAATTCCCAGGGCTGCACTGGAGCACTGGGGGGTGCGGGCCGCATCTCCTGGCATTTTGTGTAGTGCTTGATGGTGTCCTTGATGTCTCAGTCTAGTCCCAGCCACCAGACATAACTCCTTGCCAGTGCTTTCATCCGGACTACCCCCGGGCAATGTTCCCTCTAAGCTGAGTTAGTGTGAGCTAGCTCACGGTTTTTTAGCCTCCAGCTCACACATTTTTGTCTTAGCTCAGGAAGGATGGCTCCAGAGCAAACTAACGTATGCAGTAGCCAAATCGCTCGCTCACAACTTTAATGCCAGTAGCTCACAAAGTAGAGTTTTTGCTCATAAGTCTCCACAGCTTAGAGGGAACATTGCCCCCGGGTGGGTTTCGTGGAGCACTGTGAGGACCCGGCTTTGCAGGGGTGCCGGAAGCACCACCCAGCCTCCCCACATCAGACAGCCCTTGTGGGATGACAGTTCTTCCTTACAGGAGGAAATTTCTTCACCCCCGCTACCATGGCGAGTGCTTCCTTATCGATCTGCACGTAGTTACACTCTGCAGCCAACAAGGTCCTGTAATAGTAGGCAACAGGGACTTTGCAGCCGTCCGCCAGGCGATGGCCCAAGACTGCCCCCACTCCATAGGGTGATGCACTGCAAGTGAGCACGACCGGCAACACTCATCAAAATGGGACAGGACCGTGTTAGAGGTCAAAAGTCCCTTGACCGCCCGAAAAGCGGAGTCGTGTTTGGGACCCCAGACCCAAGGGGCATTCTTGTCCAGCAGGTGGTAAAGGGGTTCTGCCACCACAGCCTTGAGGGGGGGAAAGGAGTGGTAAAAATTTAAAAGCCCAAGGAAGGCCTGTAACTCTACCTTGGATGTGGGACGGGGTGCCTGCGTGATGGCACGGATCTTGCCATCCATGGGGTGGATACTCTGGGCATCCACCGTGAACCCCAAGAACTCTACCATGGGCACTCCCAAGAGACATTTCTCATGCTTTACTTTCAAACCGGTGGAGTCAAATTGTTGGAGCACCGCCCACAGCCATTCAGTGAAAGAGGAAGAGTCCGGGGCCGTGATCAGCACATCATCTAGAAAAGGCTGGACTCCAGGGATCCCTTTAAAGAGAGAATCCATGAATGACTGAAATATACCTGGTGCCACACAGACCCCAAACTGTAGATGGTTAACTTTGAAAAACCCCTTGTGCGTAACTGTTTTCTGGGCCTCAGCAGTGGCGGCATCAATAGGCAGCTGTTGATATGCCTGGGCTAAGTCCAGTTTGCCAAAGACCTGGGCGCCCGCTAGTGCGGTCAACACATGGCTAACCACAGGCACCGGATACACATGGTCCTGCAGTGCCTTGTTAATAGTGCATTTATAATCCGCACATATTCTCACGTCCCCGTTTGGCTTAACCGGGGTTACAATCAGCATCTCCCACCTAACGTGGGCGAACGGTTCCAACACCCCCTGCGAGATCAAGCCATCAAGCTCCGCTTTGATTTTAGGTTTGAGCGTAATGGGGGGGTGCTGGGCTTTAATGCTGTATAGGACAGCGCTGCCGCCATGTATAGATTCTGCCCCCCAGGCCATTCCTGGATGAGGGGGAGAATGCTACACTGGTACAATACATTACCAAAGAACCCAGAAAGGTAGGCCCTCTGGATTTCAGGACACTATAACCACCAGGAATCTCTAAAATTAATCCCTCACCAACCTGAGATTAGAGATCCCCAGAATCTCAGTTGGCATGTGGGTTTTACACATTGGCAACTCTGTCTAGAGCTGCACAGTTAATCTTACACAGGTAGCACAATTGGTCAGCGGTTTAGGCTACAGGATTTAGCTTGAAGTCCAGTTACCACAATCCAGACACTATTTATAAACAAGAATAAGGTTTATTCAGTAGAGAACTTTAGCACAGATTAGAAGGATTCAAAATAACAGCCTGGGCAAGTCTTGCCTTAACTAAACAGTAAGAAACATATTTACCAACATCAGGGTAGTGTCCAAGAGTTCAATATTGTCCATTGGAAGAGTCCAAGTATCTTGAGAAACAATAGTTCCATCCTTGCAAGCACATGGTCAGCTCACAAAGGAGTCCTTTGTTCTCCCTGGGACAGCATTTCCCAGGTGCTATTCAACAGTAGGGAGACAGCAAGAGAAAATCTGACTTTCCTCCAAGGGTCAGACAATTAAGAACCCCAATCTAATCATAATCAGCTGTGGCCATCAGCCAATCACGGTAGACAGGGGATGTCCAACTTTTGGGTTGTCATGGCAATGGGTGGGGGATAGGCTAGGTCTGGGGAACACCTTCTGCAGTCAAATGGTCCCCAAAGTCCAACACATCCATGGCCTATGTGACATGGGCCCTGTAGCCTGAAAGCAAGCGCCTTGAAGTCTAACTTTTCCACTTAGAGGTGTGAAGAATGTGTGGCTATATGGCATGGCAATTGACCAAATGGTCAGCCATCTGGCTGGCAACAGGAAACAAGGTATCAGAAGACATTCCAGGGGGGAGGCAGGGGTTTATAGGAATCAATATTTCTATACAAATGCATATTGGTTTCATCGCGTGGTTGAAATCCAGTGACAGTATATTGGCCTAGTGTGCTATCAAATACTTTAGGAAATTCATCACAAACAGGCATAAAGTCCAGCGGCTGAACCTGATTGACCCCTGAGACCATAAACTCTAGAGGCCTGAATCACGAGAGGCCCAGCAGACTCATGAGCTGACCCTCCACCACCAGCAAGTCCAACAGTCCATTAAAGTCCTTATATCGCACCCGGAACTTGCCCCAACCCTGGACAGCTACAGGGTTTTTGTTAAAGTCCCATAACGTTAACCATTGTGGTTTTTGTAGGAGGGGTCCTGCCTGTGGGCAGAGAGTGCATAATGTGTCGGAGGAAATAATGGAAAAGGATGACCCCGTGTCCAATTCCATTCTACAAGGGGACCCCTCTATCAGGACTGTGACATGCTGCTGGTGCTGCTGGTGGTGGGTCGCGATGGTGTGTAGATCAGAAGACTCCTGATGGATGGACATTCCTCGGCGCTGTCCTTGGGAGTGGCAGATGCAGGTGATGTGGCCTTGCTTGTTGCAACGCAGGTGATGTGGCCTTGCTTGTTGCAACACCAACAGACAGCATCCCAGAACCGGCACTTGCAATGTTTGTGCGCTTCTCCGCAGCTGGTGCAGGAAGCCGCGGAAGAGGAGGCCTTTTCTGAGGATGTACCCGGATCTTGGGGTTGATGAGATGGGCGGTGAACATGCAGAACTTCCTCCTCATTGGAGCCGTTGGTAGCTGCTGTTGTGTCAGTGCAATGGATCACTTTGCCACGATGGTCTTGATGGGTCTTCTCATACACTGTGACCTCCTTCAGTGCCATGCTGTCCAGTTTGTGATGCAGCTTGTGCTCCTTGAGGCCTACCACAAACTGGTTCATGAGTGTGTCTGCTAGGCTCGGGAACGCACAATGTGAGGCCACTCGACGGAGCCCGGCCAGGAAATCCACAGCGATCTTGGCGAGGCCCTGGATGCATGCAAAGAAGTCGATTCGCTCCACAATTTTTGTAGGCTTGGGCGAAAAGTGGTCAGTCAGCGCCTTTACCAGGACATCGTAAGTCTCTTCCTTCATGATCTTGAGGTTGATCAGGTCCTTCAGCAACTGGAGCATCTCAATGCCACACGTGCTGAGCAGGAGGACCTTTTTCTTTCCCACATTTGTAATGTCGTGGTATTCTAGATGACTTTCCAGTCATTCTAGCCAGGTTTCCCACTGTTTGGGGCCTGTGGCATTGAACTCTGGGATGGTTCCTTGGCTGGCGGCCATCTTATGCGTTCCACGTGGAGGAGGAAGCTCAGGAGTGGCAGGCAGCTCAGTGGTGAGTGAAGCAGGCGTGATTCCTCACCAAGTTCACGGAGCTGGGAGTGGTTCGGGGTGCGGTTCCATGAGAATCGATGTGTGGTGCGATGCTCAGCTCTTCTTCATGGTCGTTGTTCATGGGAAGCTGGATCCCATCCTCGTCACCAGTGAAAAGTACTGAGACTGACGCAGTGATTTCAGCTCATACTTTTATTTTAAGTGAAGAACAAGACAACTCTACCGGCTCGCAGGCCGGCTTATATTCCCAGTAAATCCCACACACAAAACACACACCCCACCAGTGATAGATTATTTCCTTAGGTTAGGCATCCCATAGGTCCTTGCTAGGATCCTAGCCCTCTGATTGGTGTGGGCTAGGATCCACTCGGGCCATTGTTCTCTGGAGCGAAGCTTGGTAGCTTCGCATGACTGCGTGGAGGCCCAACCTCGCACGCGGTCAAATTTCAATACATTAAAGGTTCCCAACTCTCTAGATGGGCTTTTATTTCAGTTTCAGGGTAGATGCTACCACTACCTGCCATATTTAAGGAGGAACAGGACACCCAAGTTCCCTTTCAAGATCTGAGGCCTTGCCTCCGTGTCTCCTGCCGCCCAGTGCCTGGCCACCGTGGGAACAGATTAATGCCACATATACATACATACATAGACCTTTATTGGCATAACACAGCAGCAAAGAGGACAATAAAACAAATAGAAAATAAATAGAATGAATAATAGATTATAACAAATTACACCAAGCTGCACCACCAAGGAATCGGTTTTTTTAAACTTCTCGGAAATAATAAACTCAGTTGAGAATATAGCAATTCTAAAAAATACAAAGGGGTTATGACTTATACGCTCTTACCCTAAGCTCCCAAACATAGGCTAGATTAATGCCTTGGTCACCCCTGGAGGAATAGCCACTTGCTAACCCCTCTGGAGTCCCTTTTAAGGTAGTGTGTCCAAAGTGTTGGAGATCTATGTGCTACCGAGAACCACTCTGAACATCAAAAGTTTAAAGTATTTATTAAAAAGAAAATGTTTATGAGTATACTTTTTAGTGCAGCACCAAAGTTAACATGGAATACAAAAGAAATTGGCAAAAAAAGCACATCCTCTGTCCCTTCCTCTATACTTGCCCTAACTGATGCTAAAATATTGGATAGGCTTTTTAGCTTAGGTGTTCTCTTTCTCTACTGAGTTCCATTACCCTGAAGTTTGCTCCCAGTTTCCCAGTGGTAGCAAAGAATCCCCATAAGGCCAGGAAAACTCAGCCTTGGTTTGCAACTCGCTGCCCAAGAAGGTGCTGTGGTGGAGGGGCACAACTTCACCTGTCTCCTTACGGATTACCTGCAAACAACTCTGCCTTATTTTATAAGTGGGGCCGGAAGTACAATCAGCTGCATAGCAAAAAAAAAAACCCAACCCAATTGAAATCAAATGGCACTACCTCTCTGCTTAAAATAATCCCCCAGAGCAAACAACTCATTTGCAAAAAATGGCAATGAGTGAAGTGAAACTCATTTTCTTTAAGCTGTTTTACCAGGCTGTGGCAAAAGGTGCCTGCTCAGGCCTGGAGGCCCTGTTCCATTCTGCCCTCCTAGGGGTTCCCAACTCCCTGGATGGGCTTTTATTTCACTCTCAGGTAGACGCTACTACTACTTGCCATATTTAAAGAATTGCCTGCTGGGAGGGACAGGACCCCCATGTTCCCTTCCAGGACCAGAGGCCTTGCCACTGTGTCTCCTTCTGCCCAGTGCCTGGCCACTGTGGGAACAGATTAATGCCTTGGGTGCCCCTGGAGGAATAGCCACTTGCCAGCCCCTATGAAACCCCTTTTAAGATAGTGTGTCCAAAATGATGGAGGTCTATGTGCTACAGAGAACCACTCCCAGCATCAAAAGTATAAAGTAGTTATTAAAAATAAAATATTTATCAACATACTTTTTAGTGCAGCACCAAAGTGAACATGGAATACAAAAGAAATCTGACCAAAAAAAGCACATCCTATGTCCCTTCCTCTATACATGCCCTAACAGTAAATTATTGCTCAGGCTCTTTAGCTTAGCTGTTCTAGTTCTCTACAGAGTTAAATTACCCTGAAGTTTGCTCCCAGTTTCCCAGGAGACCGCATGGTCAATATGGCTGCCTCAAGAGTTAAGATTCATGTGCCTTCTGAGGAACACCACCTCCCAAAGAAAGAGAGCTACTTCCTGTGGCAAGGAAGTTTTAGCATTTCTGTTTCCCATCCTCCTTGACCCCAGTCATCTCAAGTCAAGGCATATTTTCCTGTCATCTCCAAAAATTTCCTTCCTCAGCCTCTCTAGAATTTGACACGTCCAACTCTCTGGTCCTTGCTAGGAGGAGTAGCATCCAAAAAGGAGAGAGAGAAAATATCCCCCCATTCCTCCAATTTCCATTAATGTCCAAGGATAACAGGAATTACTTTTTAGTTCAAAGTGTACGGTTCTTTCCAAAGTAGAGAATGAGTGATCCCCATGCAAGGTAAAAAGGTAAAGGTTCCCTTGCTCGAAAGCCAGTCGAATCCGACTCTAGGGTTGCAGTGCTCATCTCCGTTTCAAAGCCGAAGAGCCAGCACTGTCCGAAGACGTTTCTGTGGTCATGTGGCCGGCATGACTAAACACCAAGGTGCATGGAACGCTGTCACCTTCCCACTGAAGCGGTACCTATTTATCTAGTTGCAATTTCTTGCTTTCGAACTGCTAGGTTGGCAGGAGCTGGAACTAGAGACGGGAGCTCACTCCGTCATGCGGCACCCGGGTCTTGAACTGCTGAACTACTGACCTTCTACAGTCTGCAGTTCAGCGTCTTAACCACTTGAGCCACCGCAGCTCCTGATCCCCATGCAAAGTGACTCTCAATAACTGTAGTTTAACCAATAATTTTACAAATTCCTTTAAAAGTGGCTCTTTGTATGTTTCAGATCTTTAAACGTACCCACCTACAGGAGCCTCAATTTGACATAAGCTATTTTCTATTTTTTAAAAACCTTGTGCACTTTGGAATGAACTCTAAGAGAAAATCAGAACATTTTAGGAATTAATGTAAGGCAGAGCTTTTAACTGGGCTTTTTCTTCAGGCAAAAGCTGTTATATGTGACATATAAATGTTTGTATTAAAAAGCCACTGGAAAAACTCAAGGAAAATTGTATCAAAGGCAATTTTATTAAGTGGCCCCACTATGAAAAAAAACACCAATGACAGAATAGCATTTTTGAGACAATAGAATTGTAACATTTTATCAGGAAAAAATGAAGTACATGCTTATACATTTATCTGTCTGTCTGTCTGTCTGTCTATCAGATTTCTACCCCGCCCTCCCAGCCAATGCCAGCTCAGGGCGGCTTACATAAAATCAGCATATAACTTACAGTAAGACGATTAAAACATTTAAAGAAATTCTAAAACCAGTTAATGATAACAGAATATGTGCTAGTATTATGATTATCATTGAATCAATGCTGGCTACCATACTCAATTCTCTCTTCTCATAGCTGGCTCCTAGATCTTCTTCAGGTGTCTTTCAGGTGGCTGGCACAGGCTGTTATTAAGAATTCCAGAGGCACCAGGGCTTTCTATGCTTCAGCTCTTGGTTGTTAATGATGTTTAATGGTGGTGGCAGCTCCAAAAGCCTGGTGGAAGAGCTCTATTTTACAGGCTCTGCAGAACTGTAAAAGGTTCCTCAGGGCTCTGAACTCTTCTGGGAGCTTGTTCCACCAGGAGGGAGCCACCACCAAGAAAGCCCCGGCCCTGGTTATTGCCAGTCTGGCCTCCTTAAGACTCGGGAGGGCCCCTGAATGTAGTGCTTTCTGAGGAACATGTGGGGAAAGGTGGTCCCTCAGGTAGGTAGGCTCCTGACCATAAAGGGCTTTAAAGATAAGAACCAGCACATTGAAATTAATTTAGTATGCTATTGGCAGCCAGTGCAATGCCTTTAGCACGGGCTGAATGTGCTCCCAAGTTGAGAGTCCCATCAGCAGCCTGGCTGCAACATTTTGCACCAACTGCAGCTTTCGGATTTGCAACAAGGACAGCCCCATATAGAGAGCATTACAGTAGTCCCATCTTGAAGTGACCATTACATGGATTCCTGTTGCCAAGTCATTGTGTTTTAGGAAGGTTACCAACTGCCTGATCACAACCGGGGGTGATAAACAGCTGATTTGGCAGTGGCAGTGGCAGTGGGCCTCCATTATTAAGGAGGCATCCAGGAGCACTCCCAAACTCCTAACCTCTGGTGCTGGTACCAAAGGAGCCCCATCGAAGGTCAGAAGTGGGATCCCTACCCTTGGACTGCCTCGGATCAGGCAAAGGACAAAGCCCTTTGTCAGATTCAATTTCAGCTGACTCAACCTAAGCCAACCAGCCATAGCTTGTAATGTCCAGGCTAGATCTTCTGGTTTAGAGTCAGACTGATCACCTAACAACAGATAGAGCTGGGTAACATCCCAGCCCATGCCTCCAGTGACCATGCATACTGGTGACATCCCAGCCCATGCCTCCGGGCAATCTGGGCAAGGGGGCGCATATAGATGTTGGAGAGCATCAGGGACAGCACAGCCCCTTGAGTCACTTCACAGTCCAGAGGGTGCTTTTGGGATAGTTGATCCCCCAGTGCCACCCTTTGTCCTTACCCTTGGAGAAAGGAGACAAACCGCTTCAACGCCGGCCACTGAACACTAATGTCAGCTAGGCGGTGGATCAGTAGCTGATGGTCGACCACATTGAACGCTGCCAACAGGTCCAACAACAACGGCACTTCCTCTGGAGATTGTCCGTGAGGGTGACCAGTGTCGTCTCTGTCCCGTGGCCCAGGCAAAAGCCAGACTGGAAGGGGTCTAGAATGGAAATGTCATCCAAGAAGCCCTGTAACTGGATTGCCACAGCCCTCTCTATTATCTTGCCCAAACAGGGCAAGTTGGAGACTGGCTGACAGTTTGCCAATTTGGACGGGTCCAAGGATGGCTTTTTCAATAAAGGATGGTCGACTGTTTCCTTAAGTGCCCCAGGGAACTGCCCCTCTGAGAGGGACTTGTTGATAATCTCCCATAGGACACCTCGAAACCCCTTGTGACTGGCTTTAATTAGCCACGAAGGGCACAGATCAAGGGAGCAAGTGGTAGGGAATACAGTTAGGAGCAATTTGTCAATTTCCTCTAGGATGAGTGGGTCAAAATGATACATAACCTGACTAGAAGAAGTGCATGGAGCCTCGAGCTCGCTCACTGTATCAATTGTGGTAGGGAGGGCAGAGCAACATGACTTTATCTGCAAAATAACTCACAAAAGCCTCACAGTCAATGTCCAATTCCCTAGCATTTGGTTTGCCTTGTGGCAGAACAGTAATGGACCAAATCATTCTAAATAATTGGGCTGAGTGTGAGCTTGCAGACACAATTGTGGCCACATAATATTCTCTTTTAGCAGCTTTGATTGCCATCTCATAGGATCTCATGTCCTATAAGATGTTCTTGTAGCTTCATTGTGGGCATGCCACCACTGTCACTTCTTAGCCCTTGCTTCATCAGTTTTAACTCCTCGGTAGACCATAGAGTGAGCCTGGAGTGAGGGCGCAGAAGGCATTGGGGAGCGATCTCATTGATGGCTGCCAAGACTTGACTGTGCCAAATCTGCAAGTTCATCTAATGAGCTGCCAGGAGGCTTCGGGTCCTGGAGAGCCATCTGAAGCCACGTAGGGTCCATTTGATTCCATGGGTGAGCCAAAGTAGTCTCACTGCCCAAACAGGGTCAGAGTGAGACATTCAGATGGGCTTTCAGAGCAAAGTGTCCAACCATAGTACTGCCAAAGCAGTAGTCTGGTCCACTGTAACCCACACTGTGATGATCAGATCATGCATATGCCTGGCCCAGTTAGTGGGATTCATTACAAATTGAGAGAGTCCCAGTGCCACCATGGATTACACCAGATCCGTTGCCTACGTAGAGGCTGCATCATCAGCATGGACATTGAAATCACCCAGGATATCAGTCTAGGGTGTTCCAATGCCCAGCCCAATGTGGTCTCCAGCCAGTGCATTTGGGCAGTCAATACACTAACCAAATCATCAAACTCTCCCTGGCTTCCCACACTAAGCCAACACACTCTATGCCTGTGATCATCAGTGATGGGAGCGCCCTGAAGGCGTAATCCTCCTGAATGAATAGAGCCACTCCTCCCCCCACCCCCAAGTCCATGATTGGTGAAGGACTGAGAACCTGGGAAAAGCCAATTGGGAGTGAGCTGCTGTCTCTTCCTCTCACACCCAGATCTTGATCACGCACACCAGGTCACATTCTGCTCTTGCAGAAAATCCCTAGGACCATGGTCATATTGTTTATAGACCTGACAGAATGTCAATATCAGGGGTGGGGTCAATCATCCAAGCCCCACTACCTACTACCTTTGGGATTGGACACAGGCTGGAAGGAGGCTGAGCTACTCTACTTCTCTGTTTCCTTCCCATAACTTCATGCCTGGTCCCACCGCTGTACTTTCCCCTCCCCAGGAGCACTGGAATCTCTTGCCCACTCGTCATCTCGCCTGCTGGTCTTTGCCAGCTGTATCAGCTAGAGGCCTCAGACAAACTAACTTCAATCAAACCAGACTAGTCTTTCTACAGCAGGCGATGGCTGCCAATAACTCCTTAATTAGGTGTAACACACTCTATAATAATCAATTCAATTTCATGCACTCCTGATTAATCCAATAGCCTATGACTGCCTTTTTCTTTCTCCCTCCCCCCCATCAGTTCAGCCAATAATTCAAAGTTAGATAAACGTTAATACAAATTGTGGCACATTTACTTCAGGTGACTAGATGACCTCTTATTAATTAATTAATTAGGAAATTTAAATAAAAATTAATTAATTAGTAAATTCATCAATTGCAGGGCAAAATAGTCAATTCATTGAACAAGTTTAAATAACAAAACACAGTTTATAATTTCTGCTCCTTAACCCAATTAAATAAATTTAAACCTAATAGTTCCCTATGGCTGACTTACATGAGTTCCATATGCTTGACTTACATTAAAGGGTTTAATTCTTTCTCCTTACTAGCTGTTCCCTCTTGTTCAATTCAGGTCTAAACACAATGATGTAACATTTAGGGAAAAAGATGCAACTCAACAACCCAGCAGTAGAAGCCAAGATAGAGAAGATCTCTACAGCCACCATGTATTTCCCCTTGGTGCTCAGGTAGGTTGGAACAAAGGATAACCAAACACTGCAAAACACCAACATGCTGAATGTGATAAACCTGGCTTCATTGAAACTGTCAGGTAACTTCCTGGCAAGGAAAGCCACCATGAAACTGACACAGGCCAGAAAGCCCATATAGCCCAAGACACAGTAAAACATGAGAGGTAATCCCTCATTACATTCCAAGGTGATTTCTTCAGTCATGGAATTCACATCAGCATCTGGGAATGGGGGAGAGACTCCCAACCATATAGCACAAATGCCTGCTTGGATAAGTGAGCAGGAAAGAATAATGCAGTTAGCTAAGGCCTTCCCCACCCATTTCCTACTTCTGGATCCTGGCTTGGTGGTCATAAAAGCCAGAACCACAGTGACAGTCTTTGCCAGCACATAAGATATAGCCACTGAGAAGATCATGCCAAAAGCAATTTGTCGTGTGAGGCATGTTACCCTCCCGGGCTGCCCAATAAAAAGCAAGGCACAAAGGAAGCAGAGCAGGATGCAGATGAGAAGACCATAAGTCAGGTTTTGGTTGTTGGCTTTGACGATGGGAGTATTGTGGTATTTTACAAAGCTTCCTAAAGCCAAAATAGTGATCCAAGAAAATGAAAGTGCCAAAACAGCTAAACTGATCCCCAGGGGATCTTCATAAGATAAGAAGCTTATCTTCTTTGGAATGCATGAATCACGGTCCTTATTTGGATATTGATCTTCTGGGCATTTAGAGCAGTCATCCAAATCTGGAAATGAAAATGTTTATTCTGAATGTCCCATAAAGTTTTGTTTTGTATGGTTGATCACTTAGCTATTTGATATATACTTGGCAACACTTATATATTATACACTGATGTATTACCAAGTGACAGGTTGGATTTCATGGTCCTTTCATGTGTTATTCATAGGCAGATTAGATTTAGGGGGTCCATGTTATGGCCCCCAAAGAAGATGCCTCCAGGAAAGTCCTTTTGGGGGACCTGTCAGGCTCAGGTTCAAAAGGTTAAGCTACATACATCAAACGTAAAGAGAATCTATTGATGTTTCCAAGGCTGAAGAATTCTGCCCCCCCCAGTTGCTTTAAAGTTGCTTTGTTGCTTTGAACTTTGTTAAACATTTTGAGTGGGAAAAGTCAGTCAGGAAATGTATCAATTCATGAACAATGAGCAACTGCTTGAAAATTTGTGGAAATTTCATGCTGGTTGACCTACCATGAATTTCACTTAACAAACCATGAACAGGCAAGAATTCATCACAAACTTTTGTTTGTGAGCTGGTTCATACTCATCCTTACTGCCAGGGAAGGGAAAGAGGAAATAGTGGAGAAGAAAAAAATAGATGACCCAGACAAATGCTTGCAGGTATCTCACCTGTTATTTACTCAGGGTAGTAGATCTAGCCTCTCTACCATCCATAGAAAGCAATGGAATTGGTAGACCAAGGCTTCCAGCCCAGATTTCTTCAATCAGTAGTTAGTTGTCATTTTCACTCTCTTTGAATTTTAAAGGGGCATTATGTTCTATGACTGTTGACCTGGCCTCCCATTGGGAGACCAGATCTTCTCATGTAAACTAATGGTCCATTCAGATTTAAGAGGAGAGAAACCCTGCCAAACAGCTCTTTGGCAAGACCAGCTTCCTCTCTGTCCTTCTTTACCTCCCTCCCTGGTCATGCTGCTTGGGGGCTTGGCATGGGAAGGGCAATTTATATAATTGTCCCAAATGTTCTGGACCATCCCAAAACCTCGGGGGGGGGGGAAATCTGAAAACAGTAAGGAGAGTCCTGACAATTCAGGATATTAGGGATATACAAATGTGCCTTTTTAATTCTTTGTGTTCTCTTTCATCATCATTGTGAGCCTTTTCATTTCACCTATTTTTTGTCCTGTGGATGTTACATACTCTTTAAAAGTCATTTATACCCAACTGATGCAAACCATAGTTTAGGTTAGTAGGGAAAAGGGTGACCTTAGTTATATTCTGAATGGTGAGATGACATCTCAGAAACAGGAACTTTTGACTTAAAATGCTGGCAGTGACATTTCTATATGAGATGTAGGAGTCAGACCATAAGGAAATCTTGTCCTTTGCCAATGCCACCCTAAGCAGAGTTATATCCTTCTAAATCCTTTTGTGTCAATGGGCTCATAAAAAAAGATTTAACTCTCTTCAGGAAGGTCCTGTAGGTTTCTTACCTTTCTGGCTTGAAATCTTCTCTCTTGGACATGGAATGCAATCATAGCAACAAAATGGCCTCCCCTCCTGCTTCGTCTTCCTATTGCCAGGATGGCAGCTCTCAGTACACACAGAAAAGGGCACATTCTGGTAAGACATTTAAATAGTATTATCATTATGCAAAGAAGATGGAGGAATCTGTATCTCTGTAAGGATTAAAAGTCTGGTTTGGTAGCCATTTTCATCTCTTGCAGCAGAAGCAAACACAATTCTTGTGTTATTTTTAATATATATAATATATATATTTTACTTGTGGTACTTTTAATATATAATATAATTTCATGCACTAGTAGACACTATGTCCTGAATGCATTTATAGGCTGTGGTAATTTACAGATGGTTGAAATAAAATAATGATATCAAATGCCCAGAAGACATCCATTTAGCCTCAACCAGAGACATAGCCTTTTCAGCTCTGTCTCTGGCCTGGTGGAACACTCTCCCAAGTGAGATCAGAGGGCCCTGCAGGATTTGCTTAAGTTCTGCAGGGCTTGTAAAACAGTGATGTTCCACCAGGCCTTTGGCTGAGGTGGCAGATGTCTAATTACATGGGCCTCCCCAGCTCCACTCTGCTCCAACTTGTTCAAACTATTCCATTTGGTGTTACTGCCCACTGCCCAGTATTTGGTCCACCATGGGCACATTTACAAAGTAGAATTTTGGGAGCATTGCTCATCTGTGCCTGACTGCCATCTGGTATGCTGTGTTATCTATTTTGTATAGTTTTGCTATATGCTGTTTTGTTTTATCTATTTGTTGTAATCTGTCCTGAGCCCTGCAGTGCAGGGGAAGGCAGGATAGAAATTCAGTTAAACAAACAAACCAACAAGGTGCTAGCCAGTTAACAATATTGGTTTTGGGAGGGCAAAATAACATGTTTTTTGGGGGGTTGTATTCTAGTGAAATTCCAACATATTTCAGGGTAGTCAATTATTTCACCAACCAAGTAAAAAATCTCATTTGATGGCAGACACATTCTCATATCAGATGGGATTTTTTTTTGTTTATCTATATAAAGGGGAGAGGGGAAAATGTACTTCTTATTAAGAACAGCCAAAACACAAGCTTTCAAATTTTCCAGAATTCCTTATCAGCCTGGATGTTAAAAAGTGTGTATGTGTGTGGGGGGGTATCTTTTTGCCCATGCTCTTTGTCTGTATGCTCTGTAGGATGCTTGGCTGACTTCAGAGGTTTATACAAATCTCTGATATTATTTTCCTCTCTTTTTATTCTTTCCTTTATCATTATTAATCAATAAACCTGCCAAAAATACCAGGTGCTGTCAGGAGGTCCAGCAGTGGGGCAAGGAAACTAGGAGCCCTCACACTATTGACCCCCCCACAAGCACCAAGAATACAAAGTATCACTTGCCTTAGAGTCCCTATCTATACCTTGTGGCTAATAGCCACCGATGGGCCTCTGCTCCATATGGTTATCTAATTCCCTCCTGAAGCCATCCATGCTTGTAGCAACCACCACCTCCTGTGGCAGTGAATTCCATGTGTTAATCACTCTTTGGGTGAAGAAGAAAGTGCACTAGAGTGTTTGGGAAAACACTGGAACAAAAGCATCTCAACATAAAAATTTAAGTAACTGTGAATAGCTTAAGAAACTCTCGTTAGCCTGGAATACAAGAACTAAAGTCTGTGCATGTACAGATTTTACATCAGAAATGCTCAGCCCGTGATTTTTCTTTCCCCTCTATGTTAAATAAAATATTTTGTTATTTTTGAATTTCAAAATGCCTTGAGTGTCATAAAGTTGTTTAAAACTTTAACTTAATGTGGACTCCTGATCCTTCCTTCAGGTTCCTGGGCTGAGCTAACAACCAAAATATTGTACCATGACAGGGTGGAAGAGCCAGAGTTCTTCAGCAAAGAAGAAAACACATTACTGGGAAAGCTCAATCAGTAAAAAGAAAGAAAAATTGAGGGGAGATCTTGCCTCTGAGGGGCATAGTGTGACTGGCCCCAAATCACCCAGCAAGCTTCTAAGACAGACTGGGGATTCAGACCTGGGGCTTGTCAGATCCTAGTCTGACAATCTGACCACCTTCCTTTTTTACAATACCATTTTTTTTTACAATACTAAAATGCCAAAATATATCAGATTTTATCACTCTTAAGATTATTAAATGTATCATCTGGAATGAATTTTTTTACATCATTAGTTGCTCTTACTCCTGAACAGAAGCTACTAGGGATGACACAAACCACAAAATGAACTGAATTTTTCCTCAAACTGGGCTGCTTCATGGTTCATTTTGACCCAGTTTATTTGGCTGTACTGTTCCCAAACCAACAATGAACCACCATTTTTTTCTGACGAAGTTTGGGTGGTTCATTAAAGTGGTTTGTTGGTCAGACAGCCTGGTACCAATGCAATCAATTCCTAGGCAACGCTGGGGGTGGACTTGTGGAGAGCCCTAGAAACACTCATAGTAGTTGTCTATAGCTGGATTGACAGCTCTGTCAGCAGGAGCTCCCATTCTGCTCAGCTGTTTTCACTTTGCAGCAGTAAGAGAGAGGAGAGGAGTTCATTGTTGAGTGAGAGTGAGTTAGGAGAAGAAGAATTGCTTGCTGTTGGCTGAGGGACATAGAGGGACAATTTTTAAACACCTCTCCTGGCTGGGAAGGTGTTCCTTGCTGTGGTTTCAGGGCAGAACAAACTCTTTTTTCCCCATTAAAAATCCAATCTTTGGCAAATTTGGGGGTGGGGGAGACCCTGCTGAAGATTCCGTGTGAGTTTGGTGTCAAAAGGGGGGCATTCTACCACCTCCCAAACTCATGAACCACACGAAGCACAAACTAGTTCAGCAAGTGGAAAAGTTTATGTAAGTTCATGGTTTGTGGAACCCAATAAACCACGAACCACCACAAACTGCCATTTCCCAGTTTATGCCCATCCCTAGAAGCCACTATTGCTAATTCAATCCTATTTATTTCACCTTGTTGTCCATACACACACGCACACATACAAAATCTGTTAACTTGCTATACAACATTCAAACACATACACACAAACAAATTAAACTTTATAAAGTCAAGTGCTTAAAGAGGTTGAGCTCTGTGAAATAAAATTCACTGTGCAAATCAGGTACCATTCATTCAATCCCAAAATCCTGCCAAATCATCTGCTTCCAGATCCTACCTGATTAAACCTGCTATGCCATGTGATGGACTCCTTATGAATGGTGAAAATATTGTCTTTGGGAGTATGGGGATTCAGCATTCCCACTTTCACTCGAAGGAAGGACTGGTTGGGGAAAGTGACCCAGTTGGTAATATCAAATCCAGCTATCAGTTCCCCATTGTGGTCAAAAGAAATCTCATCACCAGCACTGTTGTTAAATGAGACTCTCTTCAGAAAATGGTGGAGCTACATTCAAAAGAAAAACATAGATTCCAGATGCTGAGGATGCTTTTGAGAAACATTTCTAATTTTACTGATTTTTTTTAAAGAAATCTATTAAAATCTGTTTTCCCTTATAAGAACATAAGAGACATCAATGTTGGATCAGGCCAAAGGCCCATCCAGTCCAACACTCTGTCACACAGTGGCCAAAAATACCAGGTGCCATCAGGAGGTCCACCAGCGTGGCCAGGACATTAGAAGCCCTCCCACTGTTGACTCCCCCTGCCAAGCACCAAGAAGACAGAGCATCACTTGCCCCAGAGTCTCTATCTATACCTTGTGGCTAATAGCCACTGATGGATCTCTGCTCCATTTTTTGTTGTTCAGTCGCACAGTCGAGTCCGACTCTTTGCGACCCCATGGACAAGGTCATGCCAGGCCCTTCTGTCATCTGCTGTCCTCTGAAGTTCGCTCTATTTCATGTTCGTTGCATCT